TGCTGCTGCTGCTGCTGCTGCTGCTGCTGCTGCTGCTGCTGCTGCTGCTGCTGCTGCTGGCGGGGGTTCGGTGGCAGTGAAGACGGAGCCATCAGTTGCAGCAGCTGCAGCAGCGGCAGACAGCAGCAAGCACAAGAGGGCTGAAGCGTTGCATGCATCTTTAAAGGAAGCAAATGAGGCAGTCCTGCTGCAGCAGCAGGAAGAGCAGCAGAACTCCGTAAGCCAGCAGCACTGGCTGCCGCAGCTCCCGCGTTTGCTGCCATTGCTGCAGCTGTTGGCGGCTGCTGCAGCTTCCGCGTTTGCAACCATTGCTGCAGCTGTTGCTGCAGCTGTTGCTGCTGCTGCTGCAGTTGCTGCAGTTGCTGCTGCTGCTGCTGCTGCTGTTCGTGCTGCTGGTGTCTACCCAACAAGCTGCTTGTGCTTCTGATGCTTTGCTGCAGCCAGAGTCTGCTCTTGTGACTTTCCCGCTTGTAATGCTGGAGGCGCAGCAGCGGCTGCTGCTGCAGCAAAGAGAGCTGCAGCGGCAGGAGCAGCGGCTGCAGCGGGAGGAACAGCAGCAGCAGCACGAGCAGCAAGGAGATGTGCGGCGGTCATCCCGGCTAATTAGTGCTGCCAGCCCTCGGAAAGCCCCCGCTGCTGCCAGCAACGGGCGCAGCAGCAACAACAGCAACAGCAGCAGCAGCAGCGAAGACGACCCTATTGAAGACGTCGACGGCAGCAACTCTGGGCCCAGCAGCAGCATGCGGAAGGACCGGTAGCCCCGCATGCCAAACTTTGCTGCTGCAGTGCTGCTGTTGCTGCTGCTGCAGCTGCTGCTGCTGCTGCAGCTCGCCGTGCGGTGCTGGCCCTACTGCCCATCCCGCTGTCGCTCGTGCTATTGTTGCTGTTGATGTTGCTGCCGCTGCTGCTGCTGTTGCTGCTGCTGATGCTGTTAGCTGTTTGGTGTGCCTGTGTGTTGGCCGTCTGCAGCAACAGCAGCAAACGCCCCTCGGGCGCTGTCTCTTCGGGTACGCTCTTTTACTGTGTTAGAGAGCTCTGCGTTTAGGGTTTAGGGTTTAGGGTTTAGGGTTTAGGGTTTGTTTGAGTAAGGATTCAGGGCCTAGGGTTTTGTCTGCGTGCTGCCGCAGCAGAGGAGTTCGAATCAGCCAAATCGGCAGAGCAAAGCCCCTCGCTGTAAGGGGGCCCCCAAAGGGCCCCTAGGGCCCCATAGGGTCACCTGGGGGCCCCTAGGGGGCCCCATAGGGGCCCCCAGGGGTCCCCATAGGGGTCCCTGGGGGGCCCCAGACGGGTCCCTGGGGGGCCCCATAGGGGTCCCTGGGAGGCCCCCCTTGGTCTCTGTGTCTGTCCCGAAGGCGGGGGCCCCCTTTGCCTTTGGTTCCACAGGGGGGCCCCCTCATTCTGTTGCTCTGCGGTGCGGGGGCCCCTCTGGATTTGGCTGTAATGCATATTCTTAGGGGCCCCTCTTGGGGCCCCTTGAAACTCTTTGACTTGACGGGGGCCCCGCCCTCCATGGGGCCCCCTGTAGGCTTTTGGTTTTAGAGAGAGGGCCCCTCTTGGGGGGCTCCCTGTACCCTTTTGTCCGTGAGAGGGCCCCTTTAAGGGGGCCCCTCTTGGGGCCCCCTCTACACTATTTGCTGTGGGAGGGGCCCCTCTGTGGGGCCCCTCGTGGGGCCCCCTTTACCCGTCTTGGCCGTCAGAGGGGCCCCTCTGGGGGGGCCCTCCTGGAGCCCTTTGTACCCTTTCAGCTGTCAGGGGGGCCCCCCTGTGGGGCCCCCAGCAGCAAATTTTGTGGGAACTTTAGGCATTAGAAAGACTCAACTTTGTGTCTGGGGTTGAGGCATTAGAGGCCACTGATATCTAAAAATTTTAAAGATTTGTTTGTTAGGGAGGCCGCTCAGCCAGCTAGCTAGCTAGCTAGCTACGCAGCCAGCTAGCTAGCTAGCTAGCTACGCAGCCAGCTAGCTAGCTAGCTAGCTACGCAGCTGGCTAGCTAGCTACGCAGCCAGCTAACTAAATGCGCAGCCAGCCTTTTAGCTAGCTGCAGAGTTGGCCAGCTGACTAGCAACGCGGCCAGCCAGCTAGCTAGCGACGCAGGTAGCTAGCTAGCTGCACAGCCCGCCAGCTAGCTAACCTAGCTAGCTACGCAGCCAGCTAGCTGGCTAGCTGGGCTGCCACAAAAAAAGTTTGAAAGAGCTGGAAGTAGCAGCACCTTGGGAGTTTCATGTTGCATATATTTCAGCAACAGTGGCTCCTGCGGGGCCCCCCAGGGGCCCCAGGGGGGCC